ATGCCATAATTTTTCGCAACTTATGCTTTCCGCAACCGTCTCAAAACAAGTGCTAGTTGCTGAAATCGCCTTCATATTTTCAGAAAAAGATTAAAAGTTGCTGATATCGCCACTTAAAATTGGAGAGTTTTTGTGCAAAAACCACGAAAAATGGAGCAGAAATAGCGGAAGTGCAGCGACAGCAAACTCGTACACCCCTTTCTGCTGTGAACCATCACTTTACACAGTACAGTGCTAGTAGCCTGTTGCATGTATCCTACAAAAATAATTGATAATTGCCCGTTTTAAGAAACTGTTACCCCAATGCCTTGCTTTTTTACGCTAGTCTTACGACTTTCAGCTATGGAAAATTTATGCAAAAGTTGGGCACCCATTTTCTGTTGCCTCAACCCGATTCGTTCTATCGCGGACATGATCACCTATCCAATAGTCTATTACATTACTTTGAAGTACACTGTAGTTATTCTTATCTTTCTACATCTTTCCCTCGAATGGGTCTATTGTTATTAGGCAATTGTCTGTTATAGTCAACACTATAAATAAAATCCAATCCAATACAAATTCCAGTGCACGGAAATGGGAATGCACATTGTCGTAACTACCATTGATCTGCCGTTTCCCTGAAATTAGTCTGAAGGCATGCCAGAAATGAGCGAGTATGCATTTATCTGACATGCAGTCCATGACCTGACATTTCGACCCCATGCCATGGGGCCAAGGTTGCGGAAAGGTTGCGAAATAGTTCGCGAAAATGAAGAAAATGAAGAAAGTTGCGAAAGTTGCGATTTCTTGCTAAACAACGAAAAGTTGCGATAAAGTGGCGAGCATTTTTGGGAAAGGGCTAGGAGCGACACTGACTCACGCTGCTACATGTATCTGGTGTTCACGAGGTGTTTGTCGTGCTGGAAACAGAGCGTCTTTGTAAGTTTGTTTGCCCTTGTTGCTCTGTGTTCCGCTCTACCTCGGTGGTGTTAAGCACCTGTCAGCACACTGGGTGCATACTCCCGTAGTTAGTGGGTGTGTGTGTTTTAAAGTAGTTTTTTTCTCATTAGGATCTGTGTTGAGACGATGAGTGCACAAAGTACAAAACATTTCTGTGAGTCTGTGAGATGATGAGTATACTTTGTATTCAACATTTCAGTGAGTCTGTGATTGTATGCAAAGTGTCAAGAGCAGCACATCTTTGAAGTTTTTCTTTTCTTTTCTCACTATACTCTTGATAATGGTGGTAAACACGCACCTGGCAATGTGGAGGTAAATACATGCCGGATAGTAAAAGAGTGTTAGAAGTACAGTATGATAGCGTTTCCCAATAATGTAAACCCACTCACCAGAGTTTGGGCAAATTTAAATGTTTACCAAATTAGAAATTGAAAATGGCCTGAGAAACGTTCTTTTTTAAACTGGTATAGAGTCATAATTGCACGGCATTCCTGTTTGGCCATTGCTGTTGGAAATGAACAGATCTGGGTAGTGCGGTTTGAACACAAACTTCGTAACTGCATGTACCTGTAGTAGTAGTGATACCGAATACTATCAAGAGTGCATAAACATTTTGTTTATGCACTCTTGATAGTACTTATTACTAGTACTACGGATTCCCCGGAATGGAGTCAGCGAATCATTCACCTGGGCCTGGATCACTGGAGAGAAGTCAATCACCTTGCTAGAGCAGTAGCGTGTGCAGTTCAGATCCTTCTCTGCATGATCAAGTTGCTACAGACTTAGCAAGCTGATTCCTCTCTCTCTTTCTCCCTCTCTCTCTCTCTCTCTCTCTCTCTCTCTCTCTCTCTCTCTCTCTCTCCTCTCTCTCCTCTCTCTCTCTCTCTCTCTCTCTCTCTCTCTCTCTCTCTCTCTATTTCTCTCCTCAACCAGTCTACCTCACCTTCTCTTGTATTTTATCGCACTTAATCACCCCCTTCTTTTAGGTTATGGTGCGCAAGCCCACGTTATCGCCAAGACCATAGGTCGGTGTTGTGGGCTTGCCTCACCAGCACAGGCTTGCCTTGCAGCCCCTACTCTCCCTGCTGTTTTGTTATTGTTATTCTGTTGTTGTCTTCTCTCCTCCTGACGAGTATGTTCTGTACTTACTAAAAGAATTTAAAAAATATTCCATACACCACTAGCACTGCTACAGGTTATGTCTGTGCGTCCCCAGGCAATGTTTTACGTAGCGTATTTGAGCTTCCTTGCCGCCTGGGTGGATTGGGCCTCATCAATCTAAGGACCTTGAGCGCACAGTTTGCTTCTTCAACCTGCATCACAGAGTCGCTCACCAACAGGATTTTGGCTGGAAAAAGGACCCTCGGAAGTGCCTTGACTTTATTCAGTAAGGCTAAGGCTGACGTCAGGGCGGCGCCGCGTCGGGCACAAATTGTTGGGATGGAGGCGGTGATGAGCAATTCCTCCGAGGCCCTGCGCAACAGAATTGAAGTTGCGCGTGAGAAGGGATCGTCGAGCTGGCTAACGTGTCGGCCATTGAGGAAGTATGGCTTTAGTCTCTGCAAGCAGGAGTTTTGGGATGGGTTGTGCCTCCGGTATGGGTGGACACCTGCAAGGCTTCCATCCCATTGCTCCTGTGGCCATGAAGCCAATGTGACGCACTCGCTTTCCTGTCCGCATGGATGTTTCCCGTCGATAAGACATAACGCTATCCGGGACACAACTGCCCAGTTGTTTGATCAGGTGTGCTCCAATGTCTCCATTGAACCTGTGTTGCAGCCGCTGACTGGCTAGCAGTTGAGGTATTGTACTGCTAATGTGGAGAATCATGCATGACTGGATGTGCCTGTCAGTGGTTTGTGGGGCAGTCGATTTGAGCCAACCCTTCTTGATGTTCGGCTGTTCAACCCATATGCTCGCTCAAATCGATCTGCACCACGAGCCACTGTGTACCGACGCCACGAGAAGGAGAAAAAACGCCATCATGAGGAACGTGTTAGGAACGTGGAGCAGGCATCTTTCGTTCCAGTGGTGATGTCGGCAAGTGGAGGGATGCGGAAGGCGGCATCGCCATTATACGCAAGGGTGGCCGCTCTTTTCCGGCAACAAAGAAGTCCGAGCAGTATTGCCACGTCATGGCCTATGTTCGATCTAAGTTATCTTTCTCGCTACTTAGGTCTTGTATGTGTCTCCGAGGTTGCAGGAAGCTGTTCGGACATCCCGTTGTTCTGGAGGCCAGTGCTTCGTCTGCTTCACTAGCTGTGTCGGAGGCTCAAGTTCCGGTCTAAATTCAAGGATCTCACTGATACGTTCTTTTGAGAAAGTTTACTAACTTATCTATGCTGTTGCCTCTTGTGTACTCCGTGTGCGGCTGGTTGGGTTCTTTTCATTTGCTTTGGGTTATTTTCTTTAACTTTGGGTTCGTTCATTAAATTTTGCTTTGGGTTCTTTTCATTTGCTTTAATTTCTTTACATTTTAAAATTGTTTCGGATTTTAGTTGCATTTCTATCATTGATAAAGATGGTATTTTTGCCAGTACAAGAAGCTTGAGACACTGAGCCCTGGGTAGGCGGTACACACATGCTACAGCGCGCTGATCGCATCGGATCAAGTGCTGTTCTGTACGACCTGTTGGCGCAGTCCCCAGTCAATCCACTGAATTTCCATGTTCACGACAGCAGTACAAAGTACCGCCAGAGCACCCCACCATCTCATCCATTCGTGGTCGTATTGTGGAGGTGGTCTGCTGTCTGTAGGTCATACGACATGAACCTTGTACACATATAGCACGTTTTGCAGTCAATCCGTACCTTCGAGCGGACACAAGCTCCACACAAAAACCGGCCAAGTTTGACCTTAGTACACAAAGATTCTCACATCGTACATACTTCGTTGCACTCTGCCATACGATCTTCCTTCCTCTGTAAAATCAAGGTGGGGCGCTCTCGCGAGACGGGGCGCTCTGGCGGTACTTTACGGTACCTGTACTACAGTGAAACCTGTCTAACACGACCACTCAAGGGACCTTCAAAATGTGGTCTCTGTCACCAGGTGGTCGCCTTATCCAGGGTTAATTGACTGGAAATAGCATCCTTTGGTCCTGGTTGCAGTGGTCTACTAGGACAGGTGGTCGCCTTATTCGAGTGGTCGCCTTGACAGGTTTTACTATCCATTTTAGGAGTTGTCGTGCATGCCAGCCATCTCACTCGTCTGGCCATGCACGCACAGACGTCCAGCACACACGGCCGGTACGGGTGTCGAAATGTGTTTTTTTGCAGGTAAAGTAACAGCTTTAGTCCTTCGCAAGCTTGACACATCTATGATTCAGATCCTGTCAAAGTTG